AGGTAGAACAGGTGTTGTTCTGGATACCATTAGGTTGTAACGGCCAGGTAAAACACTTTGAATATTGTGATGTTACTCGCACTCTCCACCCTAGAAATCACATATCCTGAAGTGTTTGCAACACGGAACTGAGTGCTGTTTCAGACGTGAGTACAAAATAGATTTATGGCTCTCATAAGCAGCCTTGAGCGCTCTTATCACGATAGGTGAATTAACATTCACTGCATCCTGAAAAAAACAAACAGACAAAAACACCAAACCAAAGTATGTGTCAACTGCGATACATCCGGCTAATACAAACAGCAGACTCAAGCTCCATCAAATGAGATTGCTTCACCTAATCCCCCCCGAGCTCCCCACCCCGATTAAGAAATGTCTGGCTGCAAAAACACTGAAGTACAACTAGCTGCAAAACAAAAACAAGATGTGTTTTTTTTTTTCACACAACCGCAGCCACAGATAGTCAAACTTGTAGGCAAATGACTGAGTTTCTGGTGAGCAGGCAGCACGCTCACTGCAACAGGTAGTCGCAGAGCCACACCTCAAACTCTATAGCCACGGGGCCAATACGTAGACTTTGACCCGAGCAGAATGAGCACATAGAAAGATCCCATTCTTCGTCTAAAGACTGCTTCATTACATTTGTTTCCTGCTGGTTGAGATAACACAGAGACTGAGCCCTCAATAAAGTGACTGACTGAACTTTTAGTGCAACTTTAAGGTCACATTAAGGCACAATAGAAGCTCACGGTTCATCAAAACACGCTTTAATGCAATGTGATGTCTGTTTTGGAAAGAAATGTGCAACCCTATTAAGAGGGGAAATTAGTATGAGGAAGACACTGCCATTGTTGATTACATAATTCATATCAGGCTCAGCCAAGCGCTCATGTAACCTCGGCGTCACGGAGCCACTGGTTTACAAACAACCACAGCTATGGTGTCCGGCTGGATCCATGTTAGAATATTTTATCCTCCAATTTACAGTGTTACGTTCAGCATGACAAGAGCAGTAACTCAATAGGTGTTAATGATTAGTGTTTCCACAGCAGACGTCTTTGAGTCTTAAGAGACGATGTTTGCTCAGCTGCGTCCATCATTAAGGCAACAGAAAATGAAAAACTCTTCACCCTTATTTTGGTGTTTCAAAGGAAATTAAAGCAGAAATAAGGGAGACAAAAATAAATTAACACAATTGATTTAAACCCACAATGATGCTAGAATAAACCACAACATATATCTGAACTGAATCAGTAATTTTACAACAATTACTGTTTAAAAAAACATCTAAACAGTGACTGACTTAACATTTAAAATGAGATCACATAGGGTATAAAGTGAGAGTTTAGTTTAAAGCAATCTTACACTATAACCTCTCTGGGATGTGCCAAAATTAAAAAGCTCTGGTTCATATTCATTTATTAATTTTACTTTACAGCTGTTTGTGAGATGTTTTATTTTTATATGGAAATATGTACTTACAGCTTTGTTACTTACAGCACTTCACCATAAAGATTCTAGTCTTTACAGGAGCTAAAAGCAGATGGCATATTCATATTATGTCCGATACTCAGTGGGAAACTTTTCTTTTCAGCACATTTAGAGAGCAGACTGCATTTGACAGTTTAATAATGAATAAAATGTTGAGCACTGGACCCTCATCTTGCTCTTTACTCACAGGTAGGGCCGAGTACTGACCCTCAATACTGACCATAACGTGTCCACAGCACTGAGCATGAAAAACTATCAAGTAACGAAAGTCGGCATCAAATGCTTCGTCATTATTATATTATAAAATACCTGAAATACCTTTTATATTGGGAAAGGTCTGATGGATTAAAACTTTTTCTTGTTACATTAAAAAAGGATTAGCAGAATAATATGTTTATAAGTAACAATGAACACGTTATTGTTCTGGTATAGGTTCAGAAACTTGGGCATCATACTGGCACTGGTATGGAAAACACCAACAGCAACTAACTTATTTTCATTATCAGTTAATTGTTTATTGTTTAATTGTTAATTGTTTATAAAATGTCCATAATGCCATAAAAAATGCCCCAAACATAGAAAAAAGAAGCAAATCCTCCAACTTTAAAAGCTGAAACCTGAGTATAAGAGGCTGTTTAAGATTAATCAACTAATTGTTCCAGCAAGTATTGTATAGTATTGATAAGGAATTAAACTTCTGACTTGTGTTTGTGTTTGTGATGTGTTTTGTTGGAAAAAATCTAGTTTATTAGGGACTACTGCAGTCTAATACAAAAGCCTTTATGACCTTTATAATGTTCAGTTTTTGTTCAAACTGTATCACTTTACATTTAAAGAGGTGTTCCTAACATTTAATCCCCCCTCACTGATATTAATTGGTTGGACACAATATAAGTTCATCAGGAAGGAAGTATAATGTGTGTATCTGTAGTGAAACTTAAGTATCATATCAGCCTCTGTACCCAGGCCAGACTTTCACTTTATCCCTAAAACGCTGTGTTTTGTTAGGAAGTAACGCTTTCATCTGGCAGGGCTGATATCTTTTGTCCTTCGTGGGACAGGTCACGTCCAGACAACACGGGCACCGGCGGTCCTGTGGGCAGCGGAGCGAGGTTTGGTGGTGTTTATATGGAGGGAGGAGGTCCTGGGCAAGAGCTGCTCCCACGGGTCCTCCTGGGACGCCGCTGGCTGTGGCTCGGACGAGTTAACTGGTTAGATTTGAGGCCGTGCCCACTGAGCCGGACGCGAGGGACTTCCTGTGGTACAAACTCTATATCAAAGCATGCCAATGTGACATAACTGCTTAACGGCACTGACTGATATGTTGACATTTTAGGTTTTTACTTTTCTTTTGCTACCTTGCTTGGCATTATTTCAACAGGGGAACTTTGTTTTCTTTCTCTCCAACTACAAAAATAAACACCAATGTGATTCTTTCCTGATCCCTGTAGTGCTGATCATCTCTCTCTCTCTCCCTCCCCGCCCCCCCGTTCTTCACAGAGGAGTCAGAGGTCAGCTACAGAACAGCAATGCTGAAGCTGGTACAAGATCAATATCTTCCTTAAAGACGCTTTGAGCGGGGGTAGCTTTTTAAATCCGATCGACCAACGCACGCTGCTGAAAACCCAGCCAAAAAAATCCCCAAATCTTCTTTATCTCGTCTGTAGCACTGTGGCTGTCGTTGGGAAAAGAACACGCTGTGAGGCAGTTTCTGTACTAAAACAAGTCTAGACAGAGACTGAACAGTCCTAATGGATGTTATTGATAGGCGTGATGGAACAATTACCCAAAGAAAACTGGCTGCTGTCCCAGTCAGAGAAAACACTGCAGAGTTTCAGCCTCATTACAGATATTTTCTACCATCAAAATCAGCCCTGCACTTTCCACTCGTACATCTAAATAAGTCCCGTATTGTGTACCGCCGCCACCGAGACAAATTCCTTTTTTCCAATGATTGCTCTTGTTGAATGAGGCGACTGTATCTCCGAGCTTCAAGAGGGGTTCGGAAGTTCACCTCTCCAGCTCTGTTAACAGCACACCGGGGCTGATAACACGCCGCCCCGCCGGCCTATCTAGTCGCATTCGTGGCTGACAAAAGCCAAACATGCCACTCACACTTTCCTTTGAAAAGAGGAGCTTAAGCAGTCTGGGGTTTGAGGAGGTCACAGAACCTGCTTTTTGTTTACAGGACCTCCTCTTAGACTTCACTCCGGAGGAATTTGATGCTGAAAAAATCTCTTTATCTAAAAATAGAGGCAACATTAATTTCTCAGGTATCCAGTGACACATTGCATTATGAAGATAAGACACCGATCTCTCTCTCTCTCTCTCTCTCTCTCTCTCTCTCTCTCTCTCTCTCACTCTCTCTGTCTCCCAGGGTTGAAGGTGTGCAGACTTGTAAAGATAGCTGGCAGGGCGTGCCTTGACAAACACCAAACAGCTTTGACACGAGACAATCAAAGTCGACTTTCAATAGCCATAACAGGGCTAATCTCTTAGGAAAAACCACTTATAAAACTGTTTACCCAAACCTTTACTGCAAATATTCAACTTGCAGTAGTGGAGGAAGTGTTAAAAGATTCTTTACTTAAGTAAAAATAGTTTTACCACAGTGTAGAAATACTCAGAAATACAAGTATTTATGTACTTCATAAGGACCAGTGTGAATAAAAACGGCTTATTATGAGGTAACAAAAACACACGTACTCCTATATTCAGGTGATTATACACTAATAAGAACATACCTATGAATATTATATTCCATTTCTGCCAATAAATGCTACTAAATGTAGTATTTTCAGCAAAATGTCCTAAAGTTTTAAAAGTGAAAGCACTTATTTTGAAGAAAAATGGCCCCTATAACTGATATATTATTAAATATTACATAATAAGATTGTTGATTTGCAGCCACGCAGACTAAATAGGATTTCAACCAATGAGTAAGTAGGATTTTAATATAGCTGGTTGAGGTGGAGCTAGTTTGGACTACTTTGGAGCAGTGGTTTCCAATTTAGGTCAGGTCCCCTCTGTAAGGGTCACCAGATAAATGTGAGGGGTTGTGATGTGATTAATAGGGTGGGAAATAAGAAAGGGGCTCCAACTAGACACTGCCGAAAGAGGAAACAAGCCAATAAGGTTGTGAGATAGTATTTGATAGGTTTATAATAATATCATCATCTGAATCTAAAAAAATACATTCTCTGGAGCAGGTGTCAAATAAATGTAGAGGGGTAAAAAGTGCTTTTTCCTGTGATATGAAGTCAGTTATAAAGCTGAATGAAATGGAAATACTCACGTTACATAAGTACAGTACTTGAGTATTATGTACTTAAATACTTTCCACCATTGCTTTTCCACTTTTATAAAAGTCTAACAACAACAGTACAGCTTTTTAAAACACTTGAACGCAACACTAAATCACTTAACATGACTTATTTTTTTACCCCCTCTCTCTCTCTCTCTCTCTCTCTCTCTCTCTCTCTCTCTCTCCTTTACAGGTGAGCTCTTACCTCAGGTGGGCTTATATTAAACGCCTCCGCTATTTTCGCGTACAACTCCTTCACGTTACTAAATCCCTCGATCCTGCCGGTGGGGCTTCCGTGGGCGAGCTGCGTGTGGAAGACCAGCTTGGGCCGCAGGTCGGCAGGAGGAGGCGGGAGCCCCGCTCCGTTCACGGCGGATTTACTCAAGCTCCCGGCACCTGCGTGTCCGCCGCTGACCTCCTCGTTGTCCACCAAATGCTCCTTCGTCGATTTGTTTTTCTTCCTCCACGGTCCCAGCGGCATTTTTCTGTGTTGTTATTGTTGCTTTTTAAAGTTTTTTTTCGACGTGGAAACTAAAAAGTCCGAGCCCGTTGCTATAACATTGAAGTAGCTAACCTGTTGCGTTCCAAGCACCAACGGTCGCTGCGTCCTTTTATTTACGTCCTTCCTTCCTTCCTTCCTTCCTTTCCTTCCTTCCTTCCTTCCTTCCTTCCTTTCCTTCCTCACCTGCCCACAGCTCTCAGATTTGACTTTCTTGTTCTTCGACAGTCCCTCGTTAAAGAACCCCCCTCCCCCCACACACACACACACACACACACACACACACACACACTCCCCTCCACTCGCTCGTGAAACAGATGACGTGAATATTCAACAGGTAGGTGGTGGAGTGAGCGCGCGATAAGCTGCCGGTGCCTCGGCTAACAATAGCTACTCTGTTCTGTCGTAGCGAGGTGGGACGCAGGCGCAGTGGGGAGGAGCCCGGACAGGGACAGGGACAGGAGGAGCGGGCCCCCCAGTGCACCTGTGCAGCCTCACACTGCGCAGCATCGCTTTAAAAACAATTGTTCTGCGTTTTATTTGTGCTTTTTTTTTTTTTTTAATAACAGTTGCTGAAAGTTAGTGTAAGTTAAAGTGATCTGAAGTTATATCAACACACAGAAAAACTGGATTTTGGGGTGTAGTGGTGCCTAGAGATGTGGGTGTATGCTCTTAAATGATTAATTAATTAATTTTCTTAAAGCAGACAATCAGAGGTTAAACCCTCTGTGTGAATTTTAACTAGGGCTGCACAGTTAATTGAAATATTATCAATATGCAAATCTCAAGAGCTTTAATGTTTTGATAAAAGGTCAGATTTGGTGCCCTTGGTCGACACATTTTTAAGATTTAAGAAAACATGTTTGTTTAGTACATTGAAAATTAAATTTGTGATGCAAAAATGAACATTCCCACTTAATTGTGAATCGCGAAAATCTGTCAAAATAATCCCAAAATAAGATGTTTTACCATATCATGCAGCCCTACTTGTAAGAGTAGTATTTCCACTTTTACACTTAACGTCTGCTGCTTTACTTCAGGCAGTTAAATATTAGAAAACACAATAAATTACAAATAATACAGGATAAGTTTAAATTAATTATGCAATGTAGCAAGAACAGTTTGTAATATAAATGTTTTTGTTTAAAAAGAGAATAATTCCAAGTAAAGGCGACAGTATTGGAGAAAAACTACTCCGATATTTTTAAATAAAGTACAATTAGCATTATAATGTTGGATAATTCTTTATTTATTCATCAGTTAGATAAAAGTGGAGCTATTTCATGAGTGCCACAGATTTTGGCCCTAAGCGTTCATATTTAAGATGTTTACTGTTTAGAAATGAGTTTATAATTAACTGAGAGCGTCTAACTGTTGGAAGATAAACCTGTATTATCTAAATAGGATTATTCCCTTTCACGTTACGTTGTGTTGAATTTAAGCTGCGTCCTTTTAATGCTCGTGGACCCCTTCGACAGCATTCAGGTACCTATAGAAGTAAAAATAAGTAAACTTCGCCATCTTCAACCCCAACTGACGCTGACTCAAGTGACATCACTTGAGGACAGATTTCACGCAGCTCCCTCTGGAGCCACAACAGGCTTTCTATAACTCTGTCCACGAGTTATTGTCCTCCCAACTGTCCCTTGATTTTAATTTGAAACCTGAACAACCAGTTTGTGATGCAGGTTTTAGAGACGAGGACGCTCGATGTGTAATGTTTCAGCTTGTATTTCATAAACTGAATGAATCAGGATAAAGACTCCTCGTCCGCTTCTGCACAGCGAAGAATGCTATGATTGATGTATAAATGTTTTTCCCCCACCGGTGGTTTTGATACCATAATTACGCTACAAAGATTCACATTAGCCTGGCGAACTCACACACTGAGAAAGAGCAGGTGTGTTTACTCTCCACCCTCCCTGGATAATAGTGACTCATCATTTTGCACAGATCTCTAACACGTGCAACCACCCAGAGGTCTTTTTGTTTGGTCTAGAATATAGAATCAGTTATGACACAAGGTACAGGTAGACCTCGATTAATAGATAAATATATAGATATATATAAAATGCTCAAAAATATGATTCTTATTTGTGATATTGAACGAAAGTATGTGTGCAATAAATGCAGGTTACAGCTATGTTTTAAGAGACGTGCAAAAAATGGCCTCAGTGTTGCATTCTGGTACTTTTTCTGTTGACATTTAAAATCTACAGAGCATTTTACTTTTATAGAAACACTGTATTTTGTCTCTCACTGTTGCTTTTTGTACATATTTATATATATAAACACCTATTTTCCACCTTCTTGTATTGGCTCCCAACTTTTTTTTTTACTTTTCTATCACTAAAAGTGACATATTTAAAGTATATTTCATATTATAATAAATGCACATCATTAATAGCGAGAGAACAACTTAATAAACTGTTCAATGAACCCAAATAGTGAACGCAATAACTGCAGGAAGTTTGTGTAAAAACAAGCGATTTGGATGAATTTAGATGATTTCCTGTGAATATCGATCACAGATGAGTTTTCCTGATATTTTTGCACCTTTTAATACAATTCTCTGTCTGTATTATGTATATTTAACAATTGTTTATATTTAATAGGCTTCCTTATTGACTAATTCAGTGTTTTCTTCTCCCTGACACTCAATCGTTGTTCTCTTAACTGTTTTCTAATGCAGGACGAGACTGTTCGGCAGAGTGTGAAGGATTTGTATATATAGCTTGTGTTCATGTTTAGATCTTAAATAATAATTTAAACTTTCAATTTCAATTCAATTTCATGTAGTTTTCTTACATCAAATCCTGAGATACCTTCTACTGTATATACAGAAACCCTTATGGTCTATGTTGAATTCTAACCATCTTTGTTGTCTTTGTTTTTAAATGTTTATTTCTGTCTTCCTGTAAATTGTCCTGAAAACAACATAAAACCAAAGTTAAATTACTTCTACCCCTGTGTACATCTACTTGATTCTGAAAACAGTTTACATGTGGCTTCAGTAGAGCCCCAAACATTGAGGCAGCACTGGTTTTAATCCCACGCTTCCTGCTCTTAAACCTAAAAACTAGTGAGTACAAACATCCACAGCCAAGTGGCCCTCTCTGTCTACCACGGCCTCCACCTCAGTGGGCCCCTGAGCCATGATGAGTGATGTGGCGTCCCCTGGTGGGAAAATGTAAAGGCCTCTGTGTTGGCAGCTGACAGCCAGCAGCTGAGGGCCAGACTGCTATATTTACACATTCATACTTGTGCGATTAGTAAGCATTAAATCCAGTCAATGTATTTTTAATATTGAACTTTGCACATCAAAAATTTTACTGTAAAAGTTTTACAACAACAAAATATTAACATTTGACTATTAAAATATACGTTTTTTTGTTTATACGTAAATATTAATAAATATTATAAAGTCATTTTGTGTAATATTGCTTGTTCAGACTGTTCACTGATTATAAACAGACCCTAAGCATCATAAATGGTTTTAAAGTGATTATAGTTAATACTGTTTTATCTCATTGCGCAAACGTCTCTCCATAACTGAAACAGCTCAAGATCGGCTTCTTGTGGAAATATTTATTTTTTAAAATTCAAGTTCAGTATCTTCACATGTCAGCTTCTAAAATGCACACACACGACGATCCAGTTCATTCAACCACTTGTCCTCTTGAAGAACCTGAACACACATTTTAAGACAGCCTCCAAACCGAGGCCTCTACCTAAAATAAACGTTAACGACGAAATGTCGAAGCTTGTAGAATCTAAATGAGAGCAAGAAAATCTACTGTTTGGCATTACAGTCCCAGGATCACTGGGGTTTTTTTTTTTGGCAACTGTAGACTCATTCACTACCAAATAATTCCAATAACAAACAAAAAAGTGTTTGTGGCAAAAGACCCACGTATGTGTACTTTCAGATACCAAGAACCCAGACAGTCTCTCACTTGCACTTATATCAACTTGGCAGCATGCATGGTATTTATAAAAAAACACCACATAGCTCAAAAATAGAAATTGCACATTCGTCAGTAGGAGGTCCATCTGTGAACTGTCAGAACTGTCCCCGTGTGTGTGTGTGTGTGTGTGTGTGTGTGTGTGTGTGTGTGTGTGTGTGTGTGTGTGTGTGTGTGTGTGTGTGTGAGTGTGTTTGGTAATGAGGGTGAGTGCTGTCATGCGGTCATCTCCCCTTCTCTTCAGTCCTCCCCTCCTAGGTGGGTAAATGCCGTTTCAGGACATCCTTGGCATTGCCGGGCAACGTCTCGGGAAAGTTAACGTCAAACTCCACCACCAGATCCCCTCTCTGCTCCGGGTTTTTGGGTAAGGGGAGACCCTGTCCGGCGACAGTCTTTCTCATGCCGGGCTTGACGACGTCCGTGATCTTCATGTTGCACGTCTTCCCGTCTATCGTGGACACGGTGACCGAGCATCCGCACAGCGACTGCAAAGACAAGGGATGTGGAAGTCAGAGTGAGAAGAGGCAGCCCACACATGATCGACTGCAGGCGGAAATAACACAGGAGCGTCTTCATTGGCTGAGATTAAATTTATACGTGTGTAAACTAGAGCTTGTTAGAATAAATATCATGAAATGTGTTTCTCATATCAACATATTGCACAAAATGTATGCACATTCACATACACAAATAATCTATCTGAGGGTTAAATCAGCTGACTATCATCCATTATTATTTATTATAAAGCCTTCAGTGTGTAAAATAAAAACTAATCATTCTGTCATCAACAGCTTGTAAGCATTAACAATCATATGACAACATGTACAACAACAGGAAATGATACAATCCTGCTGACAGTTGATAAAGGATGGCATTGAATTGCTGCCCAGCTCTACTGTAAACACATTTACACTGTTTTAAAGCCAATACTGACATCTTTTGAGGCAATTCAGAAACTGTCACCATTATATAATCTGTTCACCAGAGAACACTAATAATTAAACAAGTGTCCAGCAAACATGGATTCTTGTAATATATAATATATTATTATTATATTCTTTACAACAAATACAACATATCTTTGGATTATCTGTATTGTAATTTCTTGTGTTGGTTATCGGCCATATCTAAACGATATATATATGTATATATATATCTATTCAATTCAATCAAATCCTAGCAGAGGTGATCTCAGGACACATTTTAAAATACAAAGTTTTAAAGAGACACAACCATCCCCAGCACTTGGCAGTAGCAAGGAAGTAAACGTCCTCTGAAGAGGCAGAAACCTGGAGCAGACCTCGGCTCTAGGTGGGCGGCAGTCTGCCTCGAACAGTCGGGGTTAGAGAAAGAGAGCGGGGGGTTTTCTGGGAGGGGTGGTAACTAAGCTAATATTGGCTGATATATTGGAGCGGCTCAAGTACACAGTGTTGCTCTGACTCGATTGTCAGTACAGTCAAATGTCTCATGTTTGAAGATGTTTCATGTTGGTTTTGTGATGTTTTTGTATGTGATCTAACAGATTTTAGCCCTGTGCCAAAGACAAATTTTCCCTTCAGGGATAATAAAGTTGACTCTACTCTATTTTAGCTATAAATACCATTCGCTGCTTCCCATGATTTGAGGCGTGTGCTACTTGGTGGGCAGTAAATATCGAATTGGCCGTACTGTACCAGTAATCCAAACAGAAGTGACTCCAATCCAGCACAGCGTTGGTGGTATTTTTATTTACAGACCTACACGTTACCAAAGATTATAAGGAGTCTAGATAGTTGAACACTAAGCAAATTATATAACTATTGTGACTCACTTCAGGTCCTTTTAACATATTTTCTAGAGCTTTCAACCGCTATAGACCACATTAACAGTCTTCATCAGTGGATGGAGTTTGCTCAGCTGTCAGGGAGATGACTCACTGTCATCAGGTGATAACAGGTGTTCGTAATCTGTCTATTCAAAGATCATCTTAGGTGTCAGATATGATCCTAGAACTTTCTCCTGTCTTTCTCTGCTCTGGAAAAAGCTAGTCTTCATGTGCTTATGTTAATATTTGATCAAACTACTGTTTCCAACACACTCTGAGCAATGTGATTAGAAACATTTAATGGGATTAAAAGAGAGATCTTTTTCTGAGAGTAGGAGGAACCATATAAGTACATCTTTTCACTGAGTGTGTGGGCGGGTGCCGCCTCTCTACAGGGGAAGGGCAGTCTTAATGTTGATCATCTAGATTACATAAGTGCACAACCAAAGTGTGTGTGAGTGTGTGTAGTTCAGTACTACGCTCATTCAGGATGCCTGTGCTTTCCAGGGACAACAACTGTTGAGGCAGACTACCTACAGCTTATTGATTGTGACCAGGGCTTTGTTTTGGAGCCTCTGAGCTTTAAAGCAGCACTCTAAACTCAATGTGAGCTCGTTCTGACTCTGTGACTAATCCATCTATCCGACTCTATTAATACAGCTAATACTCAGTCAGAGAGGGAACCAAAACAGAGAAAGACTCACCTGCCGTAAGCTCACGCGCACAGGATACACAATGTTCGAGCCCTCCCGCCTAAAGTGAGGGTGTGGCTTATCCTTGATGACAAAAACAATGTCAGCAGGAATGGTATTGGGCGACTCGTCTCCCTCCCGCGGGAACGTGATCTTGGTTCCTTCTTTCCAGCCCCGCTTGATCTCGATAGTGAGAATCTTATCCTCGTTGCGCATGGTCCTGCCATCTGGATTTAGCCTTTTGCGAGAGATCTTCATCCTCTTGGTGCAGCCGTGGAAGACCTCCTCCAGGGAGACCCTCAGTTCGTGGATGATGGCCGGGTCCTGCTTCCGGCGCTGCTGACCCCCGGGGCCAACGTGGCCTTCCCGAGGGAACCCGTTCAGGTTGAAACTGGTGAAGGAGCCGAAGGGGTCGTTTCCGTCCACCTCCATGTCCTCGTCGTCTCTGCCGTTGGCTTTACGTCCGAAGAAGATCTCGAAGGGGTTTGATCCCCCGAAGAAAGTGGCGAAGGTGGCGTGAGGGTCCCCGTGGAAGGTGTAGGTGAAGGTGCTGCCTTGTCCGTCAGCAGTGGGCCCATTTCCTCCCTTGAGACCTGATGAGCAACAGAAACGATTCTTTTTAGTCATCCGAACATTGACACTCAGCAGTGAGAGAACTGTGGTGCCTACTTTCACAACAGAGATGCACGAACCTGCTCTTATTAGAGCTGCAACGAGTAGTTAACTAATCGATTAGACAATAGATGGTTGCAAATTCTCAAATGTGACACTTTTCAATGTCTTATGTCATCTAGTATGTTTCAGTTTTTTGAGTGTTGGTTGGATAAATCAAGACATCTGAAGATAGGCCAGCAGGCAACCTGTGGCTTCTCTTTAGCTGCTCTCCAGTGGCTCCTTGTGGCTTTGACAAAACATTATATAGGAAATGAATAACGGTTAGTTTCACATTCTCCAGTTGTATAAATGTGTAGACTTTACACAACAAATAATAAAAATAATAAAACATCTGGTGATCTTTCTTCTATATTTTGCAGAATCTCAACCTATCTTGAGTCTCTAACACTAGCTATGGCTTCCAAATCCAAACAAATAAAAGCCTTTGAGGAAAATACAGATTTTCATAGTAAGTAGACAGATTTGTTTGCTTTCACCAACCAATGCTGCTGGCTGGAAATTTGCATTATAAGGCTCAAAATATGTTTAGCAGCTCCAAACTGAAAATGGCTGTTGTGATAGTAAAGGTTGCTCACTCCTGCCACAGACTATTGTGATGGGTGTACTTAAATTAATTGAGTTTTTAGTACCTTAGCAACCCGTAGCATCATGTTTCCTACATAAAAAGGAATGAGTTCCACAAAGTGTGGTACAGACATTTTATATTTGGCGTAAATAGAGTGCTCTTTTTGAACCGGTGTATAAGTCGATAGCCTGAGTTGAGGCATCCAAAAGTGGATTAACTGATGGGGCTTTTTAAAGGACATTAAGGAACTTTGGTGGACAAATTCGGACAAAAAAAATCTCTTCCATTTGTTTTATATAATCAGATAATGAGTTTGTTTAATGTCTGTGTGGCCTGAGGCCTTTAGAAGGAGCCATTGCACATTTCCAGGTTCATACCTTCAGTCTGGGCTTCTACTAGCATACATTTACATGCTCTATTCTGGCACTTTCTGGAGATGTTCAACACGCCCTTTTCTACATTAAATGGTAAAAATAAGGTAAATTCCTGAAAAGCACAATAATGCCATCTATAGTTTTTGATAAATGGATGTAGAGATTATGTTTTTCCCCCCATCCTCACATCCAACATGCTTCCCACCCATAACCATCTGGACTGAAAATCAAACCTAACACTGTGGCTTAGGACATATTGTACAAAAAATGCTTTGACATAACAGAAATACTATATATTTTTGTTCGATTACAGCACCCACATTTAACTACAGTGACAGATGGCTTATAACTGCATGCACAGTGTTATAGCTCATCCTTACAATAAAAATGCACAGCACCAGTAATGTGCTGAACAGCTGTTTTTTTTTCTAGGCCTGCAGCTTGCAGTGGAGAGACTTGAATTAAAGCCAGCTGTGTGTTTAACATCCATCCATGCCCGGCTTTATAACGGGGGTTATAAAGGCGCATTAAAGGTAAATTTAAAAATAATAATAATAATAACACACACATTACCTTCCTCTCCATACTGATCATAAACTTCTCTTTTCTTCGGATCACTGAGGACTTCATATGCCTCGGCGATTTCCTTGAATTTCTCCTCGGCGGCTGCAGACTTGTTTTTGTCCGGGTGCCATTTCAGCGCCTGTTTTCTGTAAGCTTTCTTAATATCCTCGTCTGTGGCACCTTTGGAGATGCCCAACGTTTTATAGTAATCTTTGCCCATTTTTTTTAATTCAGGTTGCTAGGACCGAGAGAAAAAAATTAAAACGATGAAATGAAATAGCCCCCTTTTTGGAAGAAGAGCTGGTTCTGGTCGACGCAGGGAGAACCGGCCTCAGTCCGGACTAATGGACAGTAAGAAGCCGCAGACAGAGACACAGTGCGGGATGAAAACCATTTAGAGGCGGTTAGTCAACGCCGAGGACCTCCTGCTATTTATCCGTGACTGGATGACCCTCTTTAAATAGCCTCGGCTCCCTCTCCTGCATCCACAGCGCTACCGTCAAGTTCAACACGAGAAATAAATCTGGTTCCGGTGAGGTGTGTGTGTGTGTGTGTGTGTGTGTGTGTGTGTGTGTGTGTGTGTGTTAATTCTGCTTTTATTTTAATATAATTCCTTCATCTGCTCTTTTTAGTACGTGTCCTCATGGTCCTTGCATGAAAGCTGACCTTATTATAAGAACTAAATGATTTATTATGAAGTGAGAGAGAGGGAAAAAAGGTGCTGGTGGAATAAATAAATAAATAAATAAATAAATGTGCTTAAAGGCAAGGTATCTTATTGTGGTGGGTGGGTAAGAATGGACTTCAGAAGGAGCATCACTTATGGGTATGGGCGGATAAACCTGCTAGAGGGTCCTGGGGCAAAAATTAGCCTCTGCCCCCCCCCCCCAATATTAAATGAATAAATTAAGATTTTTGACTCACGCCTCTTTAAAATTGATGTTTTAAAGTTGTTTAAACTACAATTTACTTTAGAACATACTATTAACCTTCAACAGAGAGCACTGTTGAACTGAAACCTCCCATAAAGTCATTTAATTAAATAATTTATGTTCAAGGGAGACTATGACTAAGAAACACAAGGTGGCGGTTTAAAGATCTGAGAACCAGCAAGTGGTCTTTTGAGCTTTGATTATTGTGTTATATATATACTATTCCTAAGGTTGTGTAATTTAAAGTTTCCTTTCACTCAAAAATGTGTTTTCCTTCTTGTTCCTACAGCTGGATGTTGACTGTGCAGAATGATGTCTGTGCAGAGTTTGACTCTAGAAGGATGTTTTCACATTTATCTGCTGAAAGTGGAAAGTTTCTCTGAGCTCACTGGAAATCAATCAATCCTGGTCCAGTCTGCAACTCATACAAGTATGATGTAGAAACCTGAAGCCACCAATGCACAGACACAGAGAATGAGCTTTACAGTGAAGCAGGATACATCTTGAGTCCAGCAGGAAAACTTTAGAAAACAAACAAAATGTGTACATTCACAGACTCAGGAAGTGTTAATGAGTACTAGAGGACTTTTTATGGATTTTAATGGTAAAATTATACTTTTTCAGAAACATATCAGACACATATTTTTGTTCCAAGCTGATTATTGTATATATGTCTTAATACATATCTGAAGGGGGTCTTTAGCTTAAAGTCACAAAGATTCAATGTCCTTGTTTTGACAATGTAAGACATGTAATAAATGTCAACCTCATCCTGCCCCATCTCTCTCTCTCTCTCTCTCTCTCTCTCTCTCTCTCTCTCTCTCTCTCTCTCTGTTCACAATCTATAAATAAATAATGTATTAAAAGCATTGACAGTAGCCTATATATAATGTATTCAATTAATATAAAAGGCATTTTACACGTAGGATTATTATGAAGTCCTAACAATGAGTCACAAACAAAGCTTCACATTATCCTGTAACATATTTCAGATTCAGCGTCTAATAGCACTTAAAATATGGAAATTCAACCCCAGGAACAGATTTCTACCCCCAAAAAACAGATGAAAGAAATGTTGAATAATGAGCCCTTTATCTTTGTATGTCCTGGTCCATTATTGAATCCATATTTATGTGTTTTGATTTTCATCTTATATTATAGAGCCTATTTGACCGTGTTATGTGTATATTCACACCAAAAATGATCTGATTTATACAAAAAAATAAAAGTCAACAAAACAAATGTTAAATTTCAGACTCAGTGTATGTGTGTGTGTGTGTGTGTGTGTGTGTGTGTGTGTGTGTGTGTGTGTGTGTGTGTGTGTATAACCCTCTACCCCAGCATAGATTATCCAGATCATTCCCATTGTATCCTCTTACCTCAACACATGAAATCCTAAACATGGCAGTATATTTTTGCTTTAATTCAACACTGAGTACATTTTTATTTTCTGCTGTATTATTACAATCTCCAGCCTGAAACCTCTACCAGCAGGTCCACAAACACAATGCTGAGTGAAGAAGATGATGATGCTGTTGAGCTGTGGTCTCTTCTTGCAGCCACAGCGCCCCCTGCTGCAGCACAGAGGCAGTGCAGGTGTGTTAACGTTAATGCTGCATTGGCACTGAGCTCTGCCCATGAGTCAGCGTCGGAGCAGAGCTGCAGGTCAATGATTTCTGATTAATATCAATGTATTAGTTCTCTCCTCGAAAACACCTGCAGCGGACGAGACAGGCTGCTTTTCTCTCTTTATTTATTTTTTTGCAGCTTATTTTTTTATATTTGTTTTCTAAAACGAACCATGGATCAGTTTCGGGGTTTATTTGTTAAACTGGATCAAAACAATGATGGATTAATATCGGTGCAGGAGCTCCACAACGAGATGAGGAAGCATGGGGTCCTCTCAGCGGATGGCAAGGTCCAGGTAATGCTCTTAATAATCTGTCTTTCTTATATTGTAAACAACATATGGCCTGCTGAATGTGTACTGTATGTGCAGGGCTTTCATTTCATTCATTCATTTTCCTCCCTTTTAGAATATCATTGATTCTTATGACAGAGACAAAGATGGCCTGCTGGATTATAAAGAGTTCCTCAGCTACATGATGGACAGAGAGAGGAAATGGAAAATTTACTTCCATGACCTTGACAAGAACAAGTGTGGTGAGTGCTCAGAGCCTTACCTCTTATATATATATATGTATATATATGTATATGTGTATATCTAGTGCACTAGCTCTGTTGAATACATGCTATAAACACTATGTAATAAGTTTTGAATCTGTTTTTAAGCATTACACCTGCTATTCTCGCTTTCTCCTTTAAACACCATACTGCGTTTGATGTAGCTGATGAGTAGTCCTACCGGGGCATATTCTTTATAAACTACAACAAATGTTAATTCTTTGACAAAAAAATTTATTTTCAAGGTCAGGCAGGAAAAGGTAGACGTTGCATTAAACCTGTGGACCAGCGTGTGTGTAGCGGGTTGCATTTGTTTATTGTACACAGTAGATAATACACTGTACCATACTGACCCTTGTACTCATAGTGTTTGCATTATCACTTCCCAGAAAACCTTTAGCCCTGTCATCACTTGACACTTTGCAGAGTGTAACTGGAGGAACAAGTACCAGTATCTGTTTGTAATTTTGTGCATTTCTTCTCTGATCAGGAGTGATTGACCAGGAGGACATCATATGTTTGTTTAAGGAGTTAGGAGTGGTCATATCAAAGCCGAATGCAAAAAAAATTATTCAAATGTAAGATATATTTTTGCCCACTACCTCATGGATTCATTGTTGCATTTAAACAAACATTGAACACAGTTTAAAACACATTTCACACACATTAGTGCTTTCTAATCAGGTGTTATACTGTGAAGATGGCATCACTCTACAATAAGGTATACTAATATCTATATATAATATCTATTAATGCTTAAGAATCAGTGATACATATCATAATACAAGTAAAATACTGTCTGTAGAACCCTATATTAATAAGTAGAAATACACAGATATTATCTAACTACAGGCTTTAAGGCTTATCATTAGATGTAAACCCTTCATTAATGATCAATAATGACATTTTAAATCCTTTATTAGTATGCCTTTCTGTAAAGTGATGCTTTAGACACGGTTTATGACCAAACACACAGCTGGTTCTTCATTATAATGTGTGATGAAACCAACAGAGCATTGAGTATTGGCCACGGCTGTTGTTTTTTTATTGGGAACACCAGGATGGACAAGGACAGCTCGATGACAGTGGACTGGGGCGAGTTCCTGCACCACGTCATCCTCAACCCTGTGGACAACATCGGTGAGCTGGTGTCCTCGTGGAAACACAGCCTGGTAAGATCTTCTGGCAGCATCCCTCTGATGCTGTAACACTTCAGCAGAGCAGAGGTGTGCACTAAACTATGACTGTCCACTTGCAGAGTGAGTAATAACACACCGATAAAAAGGATGATAAATGTTGTTTTCTGTAGGTTTTCGATGTGGGTGAGAGTCGTGCAATGCCCATCGAGTTCCCTGAGGAGGCCTCTGGTTTTGGTGCATGGAGGACGTTTGTTCTCGCAGCCGGATTGGCTGACGCCGTGTCCCGAAGTGCGACGGCACCCATCGACCGCCTTAAAACACAACTTCAGGTCAGCTCCGCTATCAGCTGCTACTTTGTTAGTGAAATGCATGAGTGGACTACTTTAATTTGACTCATCTGATACATTTTTGAATGTGAGATCCCAAACAAATAGCCTACCTATATGGTGTTACTTTAACTTTTTAATGGTGCTAAATGGAAGTTAAAGGCACAAAGAAAACACCTCCAGGAAGGCATTCGTTTTTAGATGATTATAAAATTGTCTCAATTTAATAATGATGCCTCTATATGATCTTCATAAGCACATGAAAACATCAGCAAGAAGTTTGTTTCTATCTTCTTAATGCCTTTTACTGGGGCGGATTTGGTGGAATTTGCCTTTAAATCTATGAAACAATGTGGTAGAAACTCTCCCACCTTTGGCCGCCAGAATCCACAAAAATTGCCGCTTTGTAGGTTGTTTTTTTTTGCAGTTGAACAGAATCCATGGAAGCACAATGAGCTTCTCACATTGGACATAAAGCTTGGACGGGTCACATTAAAGTACCATTTTGTTTGAGCATTTAACATCTGATCTGATATTCTCTAATGTGGATTCTGTTCTTACACTTTCTCAGTAGGTAACTTTACAAACCCAAACAAACTTAAATCAAATAGCAAAGAATGAAAAGTGAAAAGTGTCTTGATCGTTGTAATAAATGATAATAAAAGACGAGTTGCTACAATAAAAAATAATAGCTGACCCTGTTTTACTTTATTGTGTCGGCGAGTAAAGACACCATGTTATCAGCCAGCCTACCTTGTTTTACATACTTTATCTGTTCCTGATACTGGAAGAGCATTAAATTGACTGCATGTGGAAATCATTAACTTGTATGAGAATGAGAACAGGCTAAAGGATTTATGAGTCTCGTCATAAGTTTTTAATGCTGTTTCAATAAGTCAACAACCTTTATACAT